AAGGAAACCAAGAAAACAACATTACAAGGAAAATAATTCATCATCCTTTCCAGTTTAACTCGTGTTTTTGAATCGCCGGAGAGCATGATAAATCATTTCTTCCGCAACAAAACTAATGAATTATTAGATGCTATTTCACCACATCATTTAAACTTAATTAAGGCAGTAAACGGACGGTAATTTTTTAAACATGGAAGGTTTCATGCTGTTTAATGCCGTCATTAAGACGAGATAAATTTATATATAAGGGCTTGCTAGTTCCTCTCTTTACAAAGAAAAGTTTTTCTAAGTACAGATAAAAGCACTGCTGTATTTCCTATTGTCTTGGAATATGAAGAGCCAGTTTATCTTTGCTTTTGCAGCTCTTTTGATGATAGCATCGTTGATTATGGAAGGCGATTGCTGGGCTCCCCCGATCAACCTGGGAAAGGTAATATACTGGAACGAAAACATTCTAATACGACTCGGACAATTATTTCCAACCGATTTACTAAAAAAACCAACGCACGGAAAAAGCATATAGGATAAGCCATTTCCGATTTTCAAAAACTCTCACATTCAAAACTAGGATAAGTGTAAAACCTTTCCTGTGAAAATGAGATTTATTTGCATGAGAATCATGTTTATATTATTTAAGGTTACTCGACCCAGTTATTTTGTGAGCGTACCATCCTACTTTGAAGTTCTCTGGTATCCCCACCTTTACTTTGATCATAAGTTTAACATATAGCATGGGTAACATTTTGATCAATCTACAATACAGCATAAAATTTTTGGCGATCGGAGTAAATGTCACGTGGTCATAGTGCCACGCCTCTTTGGGGTGGGATATTAAAGATTGATCAAAATTTTATCCATGCTATATGTTAGACTTATGATCAAAGTAAAGGTGGGGAAACCAGAGAGCCTCAAAGTAGGATGGTACCCTCACAAAATAACTGGGTCGAGTCACCTTAATAGCTTCGCACTAAAGGTCAGAAACCCAGATGCCATTTTTACCTGAAACTCAGGGCCTGAAATCCCAACTGATTCAAATACTATTCACACACCGCGAACATATGGTTGATGTGCTAGCTGCAATTCTAGTTTATGTTCGTTTAATTGAGGTAAGAAACAGCACTAGTTTATTAACCAGAAACAAGGTAATATTATTATGAACGATAAAAGCTAAAACCCTTTTCTTAAAAGTAGTCGTAAACTGAGATGCGGGAACTCAAAAGACCAATGACCATTTGTTGAAGGATCGACCCGCTGGATTCATAGACATGGTTATATCTTAAATATGCAAAGTTTCAATGTGTTCTCTTTTCAGTTTCTCGATCAGATAAATTAACTGTGATAAAAAAAAAAATAAATTGGACTCGTGCAAAGTGTAATCTTGTTCCGCACATGCCGAGAAAACAAAATGGCGGCCGTGAAGAAATAGTATCCGGTTTCTCAAGCCAGCTTTTGAGGACCATCATCTGAATCAGGCTAAATTTAGCCGCTGGGTAAATGAGAATAACAAACTCGAACACCAGTTCACAACTCTTCACTTTACTTGACAGATACCCCAATTATTAAATTTAGAAATTTTTATCCCCTGCCCGAAATTCAACCACGAAAATAAGAAAGAGTTCAACTGAGGTTAGACCGTGACTTGATGACTTAAAAAGAGACAATGATATAGAAATTCTTTATTACCGCAAACCCAAGTCCGTCAATTTGTCAACTTTCTGCTGCTTAGAAGGTAATGGAGTTTTACTGTATAGAAAATGCCTTGCATAGTTCTAATTCGGTTCAAAGCCTTCCAATTTTATCGAAACTCTCAAAATTTAAAACTAAGATTTTGCCCTTCCAAGGAATTTTACTTACTCTTTGAGAAAAAAAATAAATATAAAAACGAAAAACTCGCACGAGGCGTCTTGAGATTGTTTACCTACCAGCGTGCAGCTGGCGTGAGCGCTGTTCAGTTTCATCAGGAGCCTTTATTTCCCCTATACTAGTGATTATCGCTAAGTAACATAAAACTCTGCGTTAATACTGCTACCTTTTTCCAATTCCAGCTGGCCTTTCTAAATGAGGAAGACCACACTAAGAGTTGTCTAAACTAAAGTTAAGTAAATTAAATTGGTCCTCAAGAACACAACTAAATTTTCTCCTCAACTGTGGTGTATAATTGTGACCTTTACGTGAGATTGCCTAAGGTACTGGCAAATTGTGTTGTCTTCGTCTTTCATTTTCCTCGACCCGAACGGTTGATGCAGTCTTGAATTGGACTTGTTTTAATCCAAGGCAATATTGATCAATAGCTTTCACCGCAATGACACAAATTAAATGTATAGTTTAGTTTGTTAAAAACCTTTAAAAGCATCGTAAACAGTCGGAGAGAAGATTTTTTCAATTAAAGAGAGAAATAGCCTGCGAAAACATCCGTTTCTCCTCGCTCTTCGCCGATGGGAAACAGATGTTTTCTCAGGCTAAGAGAGAAATCAAGACCACGATTGAAAACAAATTCAAATAAGAGAATTTTATAGCTGAAAAAACAGTAAGTATTTTCAGGGTTTTTTTTAATGTTAATGTTGAAGTAATTTTCGCATGCTTTCTTACACTGCAATTAAAATCCTACGCAGTCGTCACGATTAATTCAGGGATCCCGCCGGGTTGGCCTGCAAATATTGATCAACCCGCTGACAAATGGGCTTTGACGACGGAAATTTAGTTTAGTTAATTTAACTACCATAAAGAATCCGTGTTAAGGGTGCAGGTGGTTCGTACCAGTTTTTACCTGTTTCCATAGGCGTACGGGCCGGGGGGACGAAGGGGGCTGCAGCCCCCCCAAATTTTGGGCAACTCAGATTTTTTTGGGCAGCGAGAAATAATTTGGGCAAAGTCAGTTTTTAAAGACGTCACCATGTTTATTTATTTATTTTGAAGACCTGAATATTAACCTGAAGTCGGCGTAATAATCCAGTTACATCACAGCGGTTGCCTAGCATGTGATGAGTAATTTACATATTTGCAGTTTTTTCATGGTTGGGCACTATACTGCACTGCACTAGCTGGAATGGGCTATTTCCAGTCGTGAATTGATTAAAATAAACTTTCGCATAACTTTCTAGAATCATCTCCACTCGAAGAACAGTGTATGGCAGATAGCATTAGCAGTGGGTATGACAATGAAGAAGTCGCTGACTACTGAATTCTCAGTTTGAATTAGTATAGGTAATAGCATGATTTGTAGTGATATTTGGCATAAATACCGCGAGTGATATTTCAAAATTGTTATACGTACCACTGCTTTAAGCCAATCAAACTGCAGAAATTTCTCATGTAGTAGTATAACGAGAATAATCTTAATTCTAATCTTAATTCTTTTAACAAATCTATCGACCGGTTTAAAATTATTCGCTAATTTGTTAAAGTAGACCGAAATGTTTGCTGACAAGAGTGCCCGGATACATACTAATCAAATCCTTCTTTCGATTCTAGCAATCAAGCAGGGCTATCTCCACGACCTTTCACACATGTTTTTAAAAAGATTAAAACTACTATGAGGTGAAATTGCATGTCAAAACCGCTTCGTTTTCTACAGATAACGGCTAGACATCAAGATTTTCCTTTTCTTACCGTATTTTCAATAATAAAAACTTTTTCCAAAATATCTCGACCGTATTGGAGGAAAAAAGCTCCTGTGAACGATTTTGTAAGGTTCCCCGTGCCGAGAATCATTGCTGAAGTAGAATAGGTAATGAGGTCATTTCGTTGCTATGATAACTCCGATGTCATTGCAGCCCTGATGATGACAAATTGTCATCTTAATACAACTGTGGTCGCAATTTTTCCAAATGTTTGTTTACGGCGACGTATCGAGCCACCTTCATATGCCAGGACGGCCTATGTAGTTGTAATATGGCCCTCATTTCTTCTCGACGCTTTCGTAAAAATTTGGGCAACTTGAAAGATTTTTTTGGGCAAATGGTTTACCGCCCGCCCTGGCAAAAAATTTCTCGTACGCCTATGCCTGTTTCGACGGCTTAACTTTGAAAGAAAAGAACAAATGAGCAAGCCAAAGCAATAGCAGCACAGCTTTGTAGAGTTGATTATGCAAGAGCGCTTGAATTGATTAATTGTTTTTTCGACATAAGCGGTTACCACAACAACGTATTTGAAGAATTATCTAGACCCACCTTTTAGCATCCAGCAAACCAGTGATCCCTGCTTTTTCTTTTCTTATTTCTTTTTTTTTTTTTTTAGACTGAGAAGTTTGGCATACAGGGTGATTTCGGTGGATTTTTTGTAAAGTGAAAAACAGGACATAATTGCGCCTAGTGGCAATGTTTTCCCTTTGAATTTTTACTCTTTTTTCGGACGTTTCCTCTGAACTCTAACAAAATATTAATTGACGCAATAAAAACAGTGAGTCATCGCACTTGTTTTCTTGAAAAATGCTTCAAGATTTCATAAAATGCCACCCGCGTTTTTGTGCTTGTAAAATCTGAACTCTATAAGATCACAGTTTACTCATGTGCTGTCTTGACTGCCACTGAATGTCAGTGTATTCATGCTCACAGAGTTTGCAGGGTAGGGAAGGAGAAGAACATGCGAAGAGTAAGGATGTCAGCATAGGAGACTACAGGCTAGCCGGCCGGCCCTGTTTTCATCAGGAACGAGAAACCATTAACCTAGAAACGAAACCAAGAAAACAACATTACAAGGAAAATAATTCATCATGCTTTCGAGTTTAATTCGTGTTTTTGAATCGCCGCAGAGCATGATAAATCATTCCTTCTGCAATAAAACTAATGCATTATTAGATTCTATTTCACCACATCATTTAAACTTAATTAAGGCAGTAAACGGACGGTAACTTTTTAAACATGGAAGGTTTAATGCTGTTCAATGACGTCATTAAGACGAAAGAAATTTTTATATAAGGGCTTGCAAGTTCCTCTCTTTACAAAGAAAGGTTTTTCTAAGGAAAGATAAAAGCACTGCTGTATTTCCTATTGTCTTGGAAAATGAAGAGCCAGTTTATCTTTGCTTCTGCAGCTCTTTTGATGATAGCATCGTTGATTATGGAAGGCGATTGCATTACTGGCCCTATTCCGGGGAGAGGGGGAAAGGTAATACACTGGAACGAAAACATTCTAATACGACTTAGACAATTATTTCCAACCGATTTACTAAAAAAACCAACGCACGGAAAAAGCATATAGGATAAGCCATTTCCGATTTTCCAAAACTCTCACTTTCAAAACGAGGATAAGTGTAAAACCTTTCCTGTGAAAATGAGATTTATTTGCATGAGAATTATTCATATATTATTTAAGGTGACCCGACCCAGTTATTTTGTGAGGGCACCATCCTAATTGAAGCTCTCTGGTATCCCCACCGTTACTTTGGTCATAAGTCTAACATATAGCATGGATAACATTTTGATCAATCTACAATATAGCATAAAATTTTTGGCGATCGGGGTAAATGTCACGTAGTTATAGTGCCACGCCTCTTTGTGGTCTGAGACGAAATTCTGCTGTTGCCGACATTTCTTCGTGAAAATCTCTCGTGGACATATAGTTAACATTAGTGCCTTGCGTTGACCAGAGTTTCACCAAAACCGCAAAGAACCAATGCGAGAAATTCAGCGGTTTCCAAATTTAGTTCATAATTAATGTGAAAATGATAAGCAAACTTTACACGATTATATCTAATAAACTATCAGATTTACCCCTCTATTTTGGGAATCTTTATAACAGATGGGTCCTTACAAGTCAGCAAAAAGGATTAGGGCGTTATAAATGCGCGCGAATTCGAGAAATGCAAACATATAGAAATGATAGTTTTAGCTATTTGTTGACGTTTGTCAGCGTTTAGGAGTCCTTCTCACGAAAAAAGCATTTTTTAAAAAACTCGTAGTTTTTTTCCTTCAAATTTTTTCAGGGCCACAATTGATTAACTAACTACCCGGATTATGAATTTCATGGGCATTGAAAAACTGTGACATTATCTTCTATAAGCCCAAACTTGAGTAAACATTGAAGATTTTTAGCGTTTTGGCTGAGTTTGTGCTTTGGGAGTTTTCTATTGTGTCTAGTTGCTTTGAAACCGCCTTGAGCAATGTAACTCGGAAATAACCCATTTCCGTGACACAAAAAAAAAGCAAGGGGCACACATACACCAACCCTCGGCCTGGCCAGTACCTCAAAGATGCACATTGCCATATCCCCGGGCAATGGCGACCATGGATAGCTGTTTCCATGCCTCTTATAGACACAGGTATCGATTTGATATTTTACCTGATTTTTTCAAATGTTTTTTTCATCCCTAACAACTCTATCAGAGGACAATGCAGATTTGCCGTGCAGCAAGAAGCCTTGGCTGCAAGAATATAGAACAAGAAGTGGCTGATGACCCCATGAAAGAAGGGAGGGCTCGACGTGAAGTAGAAGAACGCTGATGACAGCCAACCAATGATCGGACTAACCGCGGCTTAAAACATAAAATATAAATGTCAACTCTAACATTCGAACAAGAAACTGTAAATCGTAAAAAGTGCGTTAATTAATGAATAAAAGCGATTAATGGTAAACTTTTATCTGGGCTTCTTTATGAGTCAGACTATGGTTAGTTCTTAGTTGGCAGATTTTAAAAAGTCCTACCAGTAAAATTGCGGTTGTAAGCTCCACCCCTTCTACTTCCACGCTTCTCGCTTTACAGGGCAATGGACAGGCAAACGAAACAACAAAGTCCGCAAATAAAAAATTCCCTCCTTCCCACTTACCTGCCCTTAACCACCACCCTAAAAAAAGTCAAATATATTCCTTCCACTCAGGTTGTTTTTTTCTGGATCACAGTCGTTTTGAAAATGAGCTCTCAAAGTCGTATCACAGCTTTTGTATTATTTATTTTCGAGTTAAAATCAAATTATAATGTTGTATGGTATTTTACGTTCTGCAGGGTTAGCAAAAATCCTTTTGTCCTTGCCATAGAAATTTTTAATTATTACAGCCTCCAAATCCTTCTATTTTAACCAAGACCAAGAGAATGTTTTCTTTCTCTCGCTGAAACAAGTATTGTAATCGATAATAATTTTGTTCTTTGCTAGTTCCCAATAATACTTTACATTGCTTTGAAAGTTTTTCCAAAAATTGCCATATGCTTCTGGTTACAAGGCAGATGTTTGTATTTTAAAAACGAAAAAGGCATAAATGTGACAAAGTAGAAGATCAGTAGGTAACCACTGAAAACTAAGGAGACTGGTTACGAATAGCCTGTTCATGATCAAGGGTCTTCAATAGTTAAGAGACAAATACTAAAACTCCGGTAGGGGGATTCTCTATACGGGAAGGCTCGGCTCGAAAGAGGCACCTTTTTTCACTCTTCATTCAACTATATGAAGGAGTAGAGAAATCTCTTATTTCGGTCTGTAAAAGGACTCAAAAGGCCTGTGAGATGTTTTTATGTCTTTTATGGCTGTGAAAAAGTAAAAAAAAAGAAAGAAAAAGAACCAAAAAACGTTCTGGTCTGGGATTTATTTAGATTTTAAAGATAGTGCTTTTAAAGAAGTTAAAAGAAGACGCAAATTTCTTTAATAGATACGTGAAACTGGGTACAATTTGTCAATAGAAGGTATATGAAAAGGGTACCTTTTATGTCAAAAATGGCATATAAAAGGATAAGGGGTCGGACCTCTGGTCGGAGCCTTTTCGTAGAAAAAATTGTTGAGTTCCGCCCCAGGGTTTTTTTCATCAATGTTCCCAGTTAAGCAGTCGCCTCATGTAATCAACTATCAAATAACAGTGCAGATTTGCCCTCTTTACTACCACTGGTCACGAGTCCATCTTTGGGTTGAGAGAATGTAATATACCAAACATCTGTGAGAATCTTTGTCAACTTAGACTGCTTTTTGTACAGGAAGGGCGTGATAATTGATATATTACTTCGATGCAAATGTTTCTTTCTTTTCATTGGCCAAGAGCCCACCACGTGACCTACAAATAACTGACTACACAAATAATGTGTCGGCTTATGTGCAATGTCGTCCAACTCTGTTTGGCTGCAAATAATATTCTGCTCATGCGTGAAATTGTTGGTCACTTATTAGGGCTTCGTCATGCGTTCCTTCCCTACGTTGGGGAGGATTGCGTGACGAGCCAAAAGAACGTCTGCGTGGGAGGCTAGCCATAGCATAGCCTGCGTGGCAGGCGCTCGAAAGGGAAGGTGAAGGAAAGTTGCGCTAGACCGCCCCCCCGGAATGCTCTTCCTGTTCCTTTTCAAACGCCTGCCACGCAGGCTACCAGCGGTCCTGAAGGGGTGCTTGGCCTGCTTGGCCTAACGTGCTGCGTACAGAGTGAAAGTAGCCGCAAAATAAGAAACGCGCAATTTGTCATAAGGGAGTTTAGCGCTTTCCTTGAAATTAACACTGGGGAACATCTTTTTTCGGTTAACTCTTTTTACCCTATTTACGGCTAACGGCTGTTTTACGCCTATCGGCTAACCCCATTGAGAATCTCCTCATGCAAGCGTTGACTTCTCACTACCTGTGAGTTATCTAGAAATTTCCTTATGACAGTTCTCTGTAGGCCATCATAGTTAACTAATTTATGTTCGGTTAATTTTAGGGATAGAAAATGAAGGCAATAGTTTTAGTTAATGACGAGCTTAAAGCCCTTAAATACATCGTAAACTAAGAAGGAAGATTTTTTCGCTTAAAAATTCAAATGCATGAACAGAGGTTAAATTAACTGATTAAAAACAGATTAAAATACACAGAATTTTATAGTCGAAAAACAGTTTGTCTAATGTTCATGTTGGAGTCATTTTAGCTTACGTTGTTTGGTAAGTATCCTGAAACTGCACAAAATCCTACGAAGTTGTTACGATTCAGGAATCCCGACAGGAAGTTAGGTATTTTGATCGACTCGCCGACAGCATTTAGGAAGGAAACTGAGTTCAGTTTATTTAACTACAATCAAGAATGCCTTGTTAAGGTAAATCGTACCTGTTTTCACCTATTTTGACGGCTTTGACATTGAAAGGAAAGAGCAGATAAGTATAAGCCAAAGCCATAGCTGCACCTTTGTAGAGCTAGATTACAAAATGAGTGCTTAAAGGGGCTGTGCCACGGCAGTCCAGTTCATTTTGTTTAATTTTGCCAATTACTCGCCCTCAATCGCTATGGAACTTAAAGTAAGCAAAGACATTACATGTAAATGACAAAATCAGAGACTTGAGACAAACAAATATGTCTCCTGAGCATTATTTTTGAAGTTGCAAGCCGCAGGGATCAACTTTGAAACACTGTTAGGCTGAACAGTTTTCAAAAATCCTAATTTCAGTCCGTTTCAATCTTCTTCAGTTTGCCTATCCGTGACATCTCTTGTTCCTGTTATGTTATTTTAACCTTCCTTTAAAATTTTAAGCGGTTATTTTTATGTTTCTCTTAATTTGACGGGCATGTTGTGGTTTCCTAATTTGGCTGAATTTCGTGACACAGCTCCTTTCATTATTATTTCGTCATTGGTGGTTACTAATACTATCGCAAGGTATTTGAAGGAATATTCAGATCCACCTTACAGCATCCAGCAATGTTAGCTGACCCCACTTTTTTTTAGACGAATAGCTTTTGGCATTAGAAAAGGAAAATACCCGGTGATTTAAAAAATTCTACGAAGCAGACTTTTGTAATAAAGAAAAAAAGGACATTTCAGCGAAGTGGAAATTTTCCACAGGACAACTGGTTAATTATTCTCTGATCATTAAAGTAAAACGTCTTCTTCTCTTTTACTAAAAAACAGTGATTTCAAGGAACACGACAATACATATTTCAGTTGGGTACAAGTTACACTCTTGTGACCGGCTGTACATTACTGAGCTTCAGAGATCCAGGATAAAACTAAATTGATGCTGTATTCTTCTATTTTCCCGACTGAAACAGCTGGTGCACATGCCTTCCTGAAAAAAAATGACTCGACTTTGGAGTTTAAAATGAGAGCATTTGTGATAAATCGCTTTCTCTGCAATGACGCTAACTCAACTTTGAGGTAAACGTTAATTGAAATTGATTTTTTTATGGATGTTAATTTTTAAAACGAGGCTGCCTTAATGCTTTAATTTTCGTGCCGTCATGATGACGGTAGAAAATCCTATATAAGGACGAATGCTGCTTCGCTTTACGTCCTTTACGAAGAAAGGTTTGTTTAACGACAGGGTGTTTTTCTTGCCTTGGAAAATGAAGAGCCCGTTTCTCCTTGTTTTTGCTCTGTTGATGATCGCATCGTTGGTTACGGAAGGCGAATGTTTTCAACCCGCAAAGGTACCGTAATATTCGCACTCCCTGAAATTTTGTCCTTGAAATCAGATCACCTGTAGGGCAGTTTACACGAGCAATTTTATCGCGCGATTTGTCGCGCTACAAGAGCGGCGATCTTTGCTGTGGTCTTGTAGTGAATTGTCTGCGATTTTATGAATAGTAGCCTGCTAGCAAGCTCTCTCGGGGCTCCCAGAGTAGCAATTTAGGAGTACAATACAGTATTTCCTGGCTAACTCTTTGGTTTCAGAGATTGATTTTTTCGTGATACTTATGGTAGGTTATTTAATTCCAACCTTTCATCGTTGCAAATTGCTCAAAATAGCCAGTTGAAAAGAACGGTTAATTAAAACCTGAAAAAAAAATTCCACAAATCTCAAAGATGTACACCGCCATATCCCCGGGCAGTGGCAGCCATGGATAGCCTGTTTCCATGCCTCTTATATACAGAGGTATTGATTTGATATTTTACCTGATTTTGTCAATTTTTTTCTTTTTTACCCCTAACAACTCAATCAGAGGACAATGCAGATTTGCCGTGCAGCAAGAAGCCTTGGTTGCAGGAATATAGAACAAGAAGTGGCTGATGACCCCATGAAAGAAGGATGGGCTCGGCGTGAAGTAAAAGAACACTGATGACAGCCATCCAATGATCGGAATAACCGCGGATTAAAACATAAAATATAAATGTCAACTCTAACATTTGAACAAGAAACTGTAAATCCTAGAAAGTGCGATAATTAATGAATAAAAGCGATTAATGGTGAACCCTTCTCTGGGTTTGTTTATGAGTCCAAAAATGGTTAGTTCTTAGTTGGCAGATTTTAAAAAGTCCTACCAGTAAAATTGCAGTTGTAAGCTCCGCCCCATCCTACTTCCGCGTTCTTCGCTTCACAGGGCAATCGACAGGCAAACGAAACAACAAAGTCCGCTTATTTGTTCCTCTTTTAGATACTCGGAATGGTTCGAAGGAAATTGATGTCACGCCATCACTTACGAATGAGCAATTTTGATAGTAAAAGATCCCGCTTCAAGCTCAATTTTGAGCAACAAGACCATCAGAAACAATATCTTTTTTATGCCAAGTTGTAGCAGAGTAAATGTAGTTTCACCTGTGAAAGCGGATTCACATATCACAACTTAGTTTTTCGGATATTTAGGGGGAACCTCGGGATGGTCAATGTAAATCCGCCTCTGAAAACGCCTTTCGATTGAGCATTGTTAACTAAAATGCTGAAATATTTGGTTCCATACCCCCAAGAAAACAAAACTTGGCTGAAATAATCTTCCAGTTACCTTTTATCAAATATACATTTCACAGCAATTCCGCTCATTTTTAACTCTTCAAAACTCGATGCCCTACAAGCAGCATTTCATAAATTGGATTTCAACCGCACGACCTTCACCCCACTTTTTGTATATTACGGAACACCATAAAAAGGTACTAAATTTTGACAGAAGATAGTGTATACATGAAAGAGTTACTCATTGATTGGAATTTCCATATCAAAAACGAACACAAAAGTCTCAAGGGTTGGAACCCAAATTTCAATTTTCACGAAGACTAAACTTAACTTAATAAATCCCAGCCTAAGCCGTGCTGTAAAATCACAAGGATTAACGCCAAACGGTAGCTGTACCCAGAATATGATACAATAACTTTATTACAATGCTGCGCTCGAATTCAAAGAAGAAATGAGGAAAACTGAGCTCTTAAGAACTTGTTGTTTATCGGCACTTTGATTTTAAAATGCGAATAGCGTGGCTTTTTCGCCAGCAGCATGACAAGACGAGAAAAATTTAAAATACAAGGGCTAGAAACCACGTAATGCATTGCACTTACCACAATAGACCTTCTCCTTTTTGTTAGGGTCGATTAAGTCCTGAGGAACCGCCTTGGGTCACATAAAAATGACTCCAAGATTGTGCGCCGAAGCATTGTTGTGGTGAGATCGCCATCTTTGTTGATATTATGTGTCTACAAGCAGAGCTTTATCGACCGAAAACATACCGTAAAGAACTTGAAACATGCTTTTCTGTCTTCGCGTTGGGTTTTTTTAATGTTAATGTCCTTTACCTGGCTTACCGACGACCTGTTGAAGGATAATCGGCTCCTTCGAAGTTGAGGTGATCAATTTCTGCCGCTCAAATTTGCCTGTTCTGTGAAAAGTACGAAAACCCGAGAAAAGTTAGAGCATGCGCAGACAAAAGTCTCCTTTGTGGTTTGGCTCAAGTGTTTGGGTAAGTTTGGCTGCAATTGATATTCTGCTCATGCTTAAATGAAGCCACGCTTTTCTCCTTCTTGTGATCGCTCTTGCGTAAAAATGGCAGATCGCTTCGTTTCCCGAAGATATTCATTAAAAAACAACTTCGGTGATCGAATCAGTGATAAAACAGATCAATCATTTGCTTCAGCCTTCGACTTTGGCAAATAATTGATCTGTTCGCCACTGACAAATCACGATATTTCGCTCAAATTCATTGAATAATTGTTAATTTACCAAGGTTGGGATATGGTGTGCAAAAGTACAGTCTAACAATTCAGTGGCTGTATAAACGCGAGAGTTTACAAAGATTTGCAATGCTTTTAGCGTGAACCACTCAAAACAGTTTTTTAATTAACGCCCTATAAAAGGTCAGAAACCCAGATGCCATTTATACCTGAAACTCAGGGCCTGAAATCCCAACTGATTCAGACACTATTCACACACCGTGAACATATGGTTGATGTGCTAGCTGCAGTTTAGTTTATGTTCGTTTAATTGAGGTAGGAAACAGCACTAGTTTATTAACCAGAAACAAGGTAATATTCTTATGAACGATAAAAGCTAAATCACCTTTCTTAAAAGCAGTCATAAACTGAGATGCGGGAACTTAAAAAGACCGATGACCATTCGTTGAAGGATGGACCCGCTGGCTTTTAAGCACATGCATATATCTTAAATATGCAAAGTTTCAATGTGTTCTCTTTTCAGTTTCTCGATCAGATAAATTAACCGTGATATGAAAAAAATAAATTGGACTCATGCAAAGTGTAATTGTTTTGCACATGCCGAGAAAACAAAATGGCAGCCATGAAGAAATAGTATTGGGTTTCTCAAGGCAGCTTTTAAGAGGGCCATCAACTGAATCAGGCTACATTTAGCTGCTGGGTATATGAGAATAACAAACTCGAACACCAGTTCACAACTCTTCACTTTACTTGACAGATACCCCAATTATTAATTTAGAAATTTTTATCCCCTGCCCGAAATACAACCACGAAAATAAGAAAGAGTATAACTGAGGTTAGGCCGTGTCTTGCTGACTCAAAAAGAGACAATGAAATAAAAATTCTTTATTACCGCAAACCCAAGTCCGGTCCGTCAATTTGTCAACTTTCTGCTGCTAAGAAGGTAATAGAGATTTACTGTATAGAAAATGCCTTGCATAGTAGGTTCAAAGCCTTCCACTTTTATCAAAATTCTCAAAATTTGAAACTAGGATTTTCCCTTTCGAAGGGATTTTACTTCCTCTTCGAAGGTACTAGCAATTATGTTGTTTTCGTCTTTCATTTTCCTCAACCCAAACGGTTGATGCTGTCTTGAATTGAACTTGTCTGAATCCAAGACAATTTTGATCAGTCGCTTTCATAGCCTCCCACGCAGGCGTTTTTAGAGGAGCTCGTATTTCTTCCCTCCCCACAAACGCCTGCTCAACTGAAGACAACATTCCTTTCCCAAGCTTAGCCAATCACATTGCACTTTCCAAATTCTGGAAAGTTGACCTTGACCGCAAGGTAATCTGATAATTACTCGATCTGCATTAAACACTGGGAAAGCTTTCTGACCTGCAATAAATGTTAGATTCAGAGCTGCAAAAATAAGATTTAGTCAAAATTCAGAATACTCCGTGCACTGCATAACCTTAGCGAAGAAAAGAAAAGAAGGAAAACGGTAACTCTAAGGTCACGTTCAGTCGTGTTTAGCCTGTCAACACTTAATTGCACAATTGTTGATTGGTCACTTACCACGCAAATAAAACAGTGAGAAAGGAATGTTGTTTTCCGTTGAGCAGGCGTTTGTGGGGAGGGAAGAAATACGAGCTCCCCTAAAAACGCCTGCGTGGGAGGCTATCGCTTTCACTGCAAAGACACAAATTCATTGTTTAGTCTTTTAAAAAGATTTTTTCAATTAAAGAGAGAAATTAGGACCAGTGTTTGATTGAAAACAAATTCAAATAAAAGAATTTTATAGTTGAAAAAACAGTGAGTGTTTTTAATGTTAATGTTAAAGTAATTTTAGCATGCTTTCTTACACTGCAATTAAAATCCTACGTAGTGGTCAAGATTAATTCAGGCATCCCACCGGGCTGGCCTGCAAATATTGATCGACCCGCTGACTAATGGACTTTGAGGACGGAAATGTAGTTTAGTTAATTTAAGCAAAGTACCAAGATGTTTGAAAAAAATCCACTTTTCAGTATAAAACGACCAAATCTGTCTATTTCATGTAAAATCGAGTGAAAAACTTGGTAAAAGGCCATTCTTAGGTTTTTTGATTAATTTGAAAGGAAAGAACAAATGAGCAAGCCAATAAGCCATAACAGCACAGTGACAGGGTGATTTCGATGGATTTTTTGTGAAAGTGAAAAACAGGACATAATTGCGCCTGGTGGAAATGTTTTCCCGTTGAATTTTTACTCTTTTCTCGGACGTTTCCTCTTAACTCTGACAAAATATTAATTCACGCAATAAAAAACAGTGAGTCATCGGACTTGTTTTCTTGTAAAATGCTTCAAGATTTCATAAAATGCCACCCGCGTTTTTTGTGCTTGTAAAATCTGAACTCTATAAGATCACGGTTTACTCATCTGCTGTCTTGACTGCCACTGAATGTCAGTGTACTCTTGCTCACAGAGCTCGCAGGGTAGGGAAGGAGAAGAACACGCGAGGAGTAAGGGGGTCAGTATAGGAGACTACAGGCTAGCCGGCCGGCCCTGTTTTCGTCAGGAACGAGAAAGCATTAGCCTAGAAACGAAACCAAGAAAACAACATTACAAGGAAAATAATTCATCATCCTTTAGAGTTTAACTCGTGTTTTTGAATCGCCGGAGAGCATGATAAATCATTTCTTCCGCAATAAAACTAATGCATTATAGATTCTATTTCACCACATCATTTAAACTTAATTAAGGCAGTAAACGGACGGTAATTTTTTAAACATGGAAGGTTTAATGTTGTTTAATGCCGTCATTAAGACGAGAGAAATTTATATATAAGGGCTTGCAAGTTTCTCTCTTTACAAAGAAGGGTTTTTCTAAGTACAGATAAAAGCACTGCTGTATTTCCTATTGTCTTGGAAAATGAAGAGCCAGTTTATCTTTGCTTTTGCAGCTCTTTTTATGATAGCATCGTTGATTACGGAAGGCGATTGCATCACTAATCTCCATCCTGCGGGTAAAGTGAGAAAGGTAATATACTGGAACGAAAACATTCTAATACGACTTGGACAATTATTTCCAACCGATTTACTAAAACACCAACGCACGGAAAAAGCATATAGGATAAGCCATTTCCGATTTTCAAAAACTCTCACTTTCAAAACAAGGATACGTGTAAAACTTTTCCTGTGAAAATGAGATTTATTTGCGTGAGAATCATTTTTATATTATTTAAGGTGACTCGACCCAGTTATTTTATGAGGGTACCATCCTACTTTGAAGTTCTCTGGTATCCCCACTTTTACTTTGATCATAAGTCTAACATATAGCATGGATAACATTTTGATCAATCTACAATATAGCATAAAATTTTTGGCGATCGGAGTAAATGTCACGTGGTTATAGTGCCACGCCTCTTTGGGGTCTGAGACAGAATTCTGCTGTTACCGGCATTTTTTCTTGAAAATCTCTCGGCTGCATATACTTCACACTAGTGCCTTGCGTTGACCAGAGTTTCACCAAATCGCAAAGAACCAATGCGAGAAATTCAGCGGTTTCCAAATTTAGGTCATAATTTATGTGAAAATGATAAGCAAACTTTACACAATTATATCTAATAGACTATGAGATTCACCTCTGTTTTTTGGGCATCGTTATAACAGATGGGTCCTTGCAAGTCAGCAAAAAGCTTTAGGGCCTTGCAAATGCGCGTGATTTCGAGAAATTTAAACATATAGAAATTATAGTTTTTGCTATTTGTTGACGTTTGCCAGAGTTTGAGAGTCCTTCTCACGAAAAAAGCATTTTCTTCAAAATTTTTTCAGGGCCACAATTGATTTACTAACTACCCGGATTCTGAATTTCATAGTCATTGAAAAACTGTGACATTATCTTCTATAAGCCGAAACTTGAGTAAACATTGAAGTTTTTTAGCATTTTGGCAGAGTTTGTGCTTTGGGAGTTTTCTATTGTGTCTAGTTGTGTTTTCTATTGTGTCTAGTCTGTCATGATACATTACTATTAAGGCGAGAGAGGAAGTTCACGGAAAAGAGATCGAGTAGCATTTCTTGATTTTTTTGCAAAGACACAAGAAGTTCGAGAATTGATTAAGAATCGTGAGTTATACATCTATCTATCACGCGATCGCCTGTCTCACTGTACCAGAAATTATCATATCTCGCGGAGCATTCGGAAGTCAGCCGAGCGCGGTCATTGCATACGTGCTGAACAAGAATGCTGTATCATGACAGACTTGACACAATAGAAAACTCACAAAGCACAAGCTCAGCCAAAACGCTAAAAATCTTCAATGTTTACTCAAGTTTCGGCTTATAGAAGATAATTTCACAGTTTTTCAATGACCATGAAATTCAGAATCCTGGTAGTTGGTAAATCAGTTGTGGTCCTGAAAAAATTTGAAGGAAAAAAACTACGAGTTTTTAAGAAAATGCTTTTTTCGTGAGAATGACTCCCAAACGCTGACAAACGTCAACAAATAGCTAAAACTATAATTTCTATATGTTTAAATTTCTCGAAATCACGCGCATTTGCAAGACCCTAAAGCTTTTTGCTGACTTGCATGGACCCATCGGTTATAAAGATCCCTAAAATAAAGGGATAAATCTGATAGTTTATTAGGTATAAACGTGTAAAGTTTGCTTGTCATTTTCACATAAATTATGACCTAAATTTGGAAACCGCTGACTTTCTCGTACTGGTTCTTTGCGATTTGGTGAAACTCTGGTCAACGCAAGGCACTAAAGCGAACTATATGCACCCGAGAGATTTTAACGAAAAAATGCAGGCAACAGCAGAATTTCGTTTCAGACCCCAAAGAGGCGTTGCACTATAACCACGTGACATTTACTCCGATCGCCAAAAATTTTATGCTATATTGTAGATTGATCAAAATGTTATCCATGCCATATGTTAGACTTTTGATCAAAGTAAAGGTGAGGACACCAGAGAACTTCAAAGTAGGATGGTACCCTCACAAAATAACTTTCCAGGGTCGAGTCACCTTAATAGCCTCGCACTTAGCCCCGCTTTGAAACCGCCTTGAGCAACGTAACTCGGAAACAACCCATCTCCGTGACACAAACAAAAGGCAAGGGGCACACATACACGAACCCTTGGCCTGGCCAGTACTTTAAAGATGCACACCGCCATAACTCCGGGCAGTGGCAGCCATAAATAGCTGTTTCCACGCCTCTTATTATAGACAGAGGTATTGAGTTGATATTTCACCTGATTTTGTCAATTTTTTTCTTTTTTACACCTAACAAACTCAATCAGAGGACAATGCAGATTTGCCGTACAGCAAGAAGCCTTGGCTGCAGGAATATAGAACAAGAAATGGCTGAGGACCCCATGAAAGAAGGAAGAGCTCGAAGTGAAGTAAAACAGAGGAGTTTTCTATTGTGTCTAGTTGTGTTTTCTACTGTGTCTAGTCTGTAATGATACCTTACTATTCGGGTGAGAGAGGAAGTTCGCGGAGAAGAGATTGAGTAGCATTTCTTGATTTTTTTTGCAAAGACACAAGAAGTTCGAGAATTGATTAAAAATCGTTAGTTATACCTCTATGTATCACGCGATCGCCTGTCTCACCGTACCAAAAATTATCATATCTCGGTGAGCATTCGGAAGTCAGCCAAGCGCGGTCATTGCATGCGTGCTGAACAAGAATGCTGTAACATGACAGACTAGACACAAGAATAGCAAATTTCCAAAGCACAAACTCAGCCAAAACGCTAAAAATCTTCAATGTTCACTCAAGTTTGGGCTTATAGAAGATGATAGGGCCATTTATACGAGGAAAAATAAGACGCGTCTTAAATAAGACGCGAACTGTACCATTTATACGAGCATGTCTTATCTAATAAGACGCGTCTTAGCTAAGCCGCGTCTTATTTTAGACGAAATGTGCCGTTTATAAGGAAAGTTCGCGTCTTCTTCAAGACGCGTCTTATTTTTCCTCGTATAAATGGCCCTAATGTCACAGTTTTTCAATGACCATGAAATTCAGAATCCGGGTAGTTAGTTAATCAATTGTGGCCCTGAAAAAATTTGAAGGAAAAATCTACGAGTTTTTAAGAAAATGCTTTTTTCGTGAGAAGGACTCCCAAACGCTGACAAACGTCAACAAATAGCTTAAACAATAATTTAATTTCTATTTGTTTGGATTGCTCGAAATCGCGCGCATTTATAAGGCCCTAAAGCTTTTTGCTGACTTAAAATGACCCATCTGTTATAAAGATCCCCAAAATAAACGGATAAATCTGATAGTTTATTAGATATAATCGTGTAAAGTTTGCTTATCATTTTCACATAAATTATGACCTAAATTTGGAAACCGCTGAATTTCTCGCAATGGGTGTTTGCTATTTTGGTGAAACTCTGGTCAACGCAAGGCACTAATGCGAACTATATGTAAGCGAGAGATTTTCACGAAAAAATGCCGGCAATAGCAGAATTCCGTCTTAGACCCCAAAGGGGCGTGGCACTATAATCACGTGACATTTACTCGGATGGCCAAAAATTTTATGCTATATTGTAGATTGATCAAAATGTTATCCATGCTATATGTTAGACTTATGATCAAAGTAAAGGTGGGTATACCACAGAACTTCAAAGTAGGATGTTTCCTCACAAAATAACTGGGTCGAGTCACCTTAATAGCTTCGCACTTAGCCCCGCTTTGAAACCGCCTTGAGCAACGTAACTCGGAAATATCCCATTTCCGTGACACAAACAAAAAGCAAGGGGCACACATACACCAACCCTCGGCCTGGCCAGTACCTCAAAGATGCACACCGCCATGTCCCCGGGCAGTATGGATAGCTGTTTCCATACTTCTCATAGATATTGATTTGATATTTCACCTGATTTTGTGAATTTTTTTCTTTTTTACCCCTAACAACTCAATCAGAGGACAATGCAGATTTGCCGTGCAGCAAGAAGCCTTGGCTGCAGGAATATAGAACAAGAAGTGGCTGATGACCCCATGAAAGAAGGAAGGGCTCGACGTGAAGTAAAAGAACGCTGATGACAGCCATCCAATGATCGGACTAACCGCGGATTAAAACATAAAATATAAATGTCAACTCTAACATTCGAACAAGAAACTGTAAATCGTAAAAAGTGATAATAATTGCCAACGAGTCACCCTCGCGAGGACGCGAGGGTGACGAGGCGGCAGCATCATAAATCCGACGCGCGAGTTAGTTTTGGTACAGGGAGAAAAAATCTCGAATCAAAATGTAAGCATAAGGTAATGTAAGAGTGACATCATCGGTCATTGTTTTCGAGCTAGCCAATGGCATCGTGGTATTTTTTAATCTAAACCAATCACATCAGGACGATCATGACCGGTGACCACATGACCAACATCAGATGACCACATTAACCTCGTGGGCATTTTCTGGTGTATCCCGGCATCTCCTGTTCGTGTTGGGCATCGTGCGACTTGCGAGGTGATCAATTACCAGGCAGGAAAAGGTGAGTGGAAATATTGATTTTATTCACTCGTGAGCGTTGTCTTCTTGGGTGCATTTTAATTAAGTGTTTTTTGGATCCGGGGTCGCAAATCTAGCAACTAGCAGACTGAAAAATCGCCCAGCGAGGCTAAAATCGCCCAGCGAGGCAGTTATCGAGAGCAGCTCGAAAACGGCGAGTGACAGTGTCACAGTCACGGCGAGCTTGCCAAAACAGTCAATTGTCTTGACCAGATCGGCCAGCGTGCCATTTAAGAAACAAAAAACAAAACCACTTGAATATATTCACTATAAACTCAATCAGAGGGCGTATAAAGCCTCTTTTTATCGAGCTAGTGTGCTCAGTGCTCAAAATTACAAATTTTGATCGACCAACGAGACACGAGTCACATGGCGTGTCGCTGTTAGTTGTGCGCTTTTTTCTGCTTATCCATTAGCGTGTCCGAAAGTGAAAAACAGTCTAAGCTCTGTTTGCCGGGAAGCCACTATCAGTCAAGCTTGAGGGAGCTTAGCAAATCAGTTTGGATAGTTTTTTTATTCCAAAATTGTAGGGTGCTTAGCTTCGTTTGAAATCAGAACTGCTCAGGTCCAAAGTACACTTGCTGAAGCGCGTGCACTGAAGTAACAGCTCACGAGAATTTATGATGCTTCGTCTATTGTGTGTGTTATTAGTCGTAAGTCATTATCAGGGCCATAGTGGTGAGACTAATTTCAATTTTCCACGTGGATATCAAAATGTAACCATTTTCAGATTCCGAGGAAGATATTTGTCTAGACGTATACCTTATCCTTCTAATGGTAGTTTTAATCCCTTTGCAATTTCTAATAAAGAAGCACACATATTAAATGGAAACATAAATAACTTGGAAGCTGCAAAAATGTGTGAGGAAAACAGCTATTCATTTGGTAGAGATCACTTCAGTAATTATTGTTTAAACAATGCAGGTAAATTTTCCTGTGCAGTTGATTGTTTTCTCGAGCTGTGTTATGGTGTTTTTGTAATCATCTTCATAGCACTACACGAAATGAGTTTTTGACGTTATCTATGAGTCATGTAATCAAAGAGAAAACCTTGGGGCTATTGACATTGTGCGAGAACCTGTGTGGTTATGGCTCAGAGATCATTGTTCATCATTTTCTGCAATGACTGCCAATGCTGTTTTTAGTGACATATTTACATTGAATACTGTCGGAGAGTTAAGTGAGGACCTCAAGTCATTGTTTGTTGTTCAGCAATGCAATCAGTCGTGTTGCGCATCATGTGGCAACCAAATCATATATAAGACAGGTATATTTGTTCTTTACATTACCTGCCCAAATATCATTTCCACGCAATTTGCAAATCATGTTTCAGAAGCTGTTCTTCCTCACAGTAGGGCTCTTTATTGTGAATCTTGCCAAAAACACAGTGGTGATGTTTCTGCATTGCGACATTTTGTAACACTTCCCACATTTTTAACTATTGAATTGTCATCCAATTGTATTGATCAAATTACATTTCCTTTAACTATGGACGTTTTAGAAAATTATTATTCACTGAAAGCTGTTGTGCGTTCTGCAAGTCAACATTTTACTATCGCTATAAATAAAGGAACACATTGGTTGTATTTTGATGATATCTGCAGATCAATTCAGCAATATTCCCATTTCAAAACCTCTTGATTGCCCATGCCAATGGCTGGTATTTTGCTGTCTATGAAAAGTCTGCCATTCCATTCATTGATAGCGGTAATGCACATGCAGCTGTGAACCAATCTAAGTACACCCAAGAATACCTCACAGGACATTCAGTGCCAAAAGTACTCATTAATGATACTTTAACAGTGCCATCAAACAAACACATTGCACAAGCAAAACAAAATGCATACATGAAAGAATATCGAAAGAAAAGAAAAAGTAATGAAACTGCAGAAGAACAACTTGCCAAAAAAACAAAAGCAAAATGCTTACATGAAAGAGTACAGAAGGAGAAAGAAAAATAATGAATCTCAAAGTGAGACGCTTGCTAGACAAGGAAAGCAAAATATATACATGAGGGAATACAACAGGAGAAAAAAAAAAACATTGAAACTGATACCAAAAAATTTGCAACGGAAGAAAAACAAAATACAAACATGAAGGAAAATCATAAAAAAGTGAAAAACAACTTGGCCTAAAACAGAAGAAAAATGCTTACATGAAAGAGTACAGAAGGAGAAAGAAAAACAATGAATTTCATAGTGAGAAACTTTACACGACGAAAGCAAAATATATACATGAAGGAATACAACAACAGAAAGAAAGACGTTGCAACTGGTAGCAAAACAATTTCAAGAGAAGAAGAACAAAATACAGTAATGAAAGAAGATCATGCAAAAAGTGTTCATGGTGATTTTAAAATGCAAGCAAAACTTATTAGAGAAGAAAAACAAAATACAGACATCATGGAAAATCATGCAAAAAAGTGTTAACAGTGATTTTAAAATGCAAGCAGATCAAAATGTATTTAAATGTTTTGTGGAGAAGGAAAAATATTTGTCTTTGTTTGATAGTCAAACAAATGGACCAATTCATTTACAGGAATGGGCTAAAAAAACATGCGAGATTTCCATAATTCTTTGAAATTCAAAATCTATAAATGCAACATCTGCCATGAAGCATGGCCATTGTCAGAAAAATGTAAAGATGAATCTACATATGTGTGCTCTAGGTGTTTGCGTGACAAGAATGCAACAAAAAGTTTTCAGTTGACAATAATATGATACCTTCACAAGCACCAAAAGAACTGCAGGGACTCACGCAATTAGAAGAAATGCTTATAGCACGTGTATTTCCAGTAATATCTGTTTATACAAAACCAGGGGGCAAAAGGCATACAAAGGCCACTGTATTAATTTTTCCCAAGATATTCAAGAGCTAGCTAACTCATTGCCAAGGTATCCGAGGGAGCTGCCTGTGATAGTTGTGTCAGTCAAAGGCAAAGATAATACTTATAAAGATCTTACAGTAAGGCGGGAAAAAGTGAGCTGTGCTCTACACTGGTTAGTCCAGCATAACCCTGTATACAAAAATATTACTATAGATTATGACTGCTTGTCTTCCTTGCCATCTGAAGGCATCCCAAGTGAACTGCATCAGATTGATTGTATTGAGAATACTAAAGATAAGGAAATGGATCCAGACAGAGGTCCACTTGATGTCAATGAGATACCATTCAATGAAGAGACAGAATTAAGCAGCACAATCCTTAATCCAGTAACCTTAAAGCCTCAAAAGCAACTTATTACAGATCAGTTATTGCAAAAGCATAAATTAAATTGGCCACACAGAGACGCAAGCCCTCTGAATGAATTTAAGATCGAATTTCTAGCAACAATGGCATTTCCCACCCTATTTCCTGATGCTAAAGGAGACCCTACAAACACTGCTATAAAGCGGGGTGCAACTTTAGGAGAGAAAATAAAGCATCTAATTAAATTTGCTGAATATTCTAATGATGAGTGGACTTATAGGTTTGCAAGCCATCCACGATTTGCATATTGGGCTTTTAATATGATTCAGAGGCATAGACTTCTTAGTCAAGGGAGTATTTTTTTGAAACAAAACCCTAGCGATGCAAAACTAACTGTGGAACAACTTAAACAGATGCTTCAGTCAAATAATCATTCAACTTTAATGTCTAAACTTATGCATTATGCTAAAAAATATAACTGGTAGCAATAGCTATTGGCACAAAGCAAAAGAGGATTTAAGGGCTACCGTTGCTCAAGTAGGACCTCCTACATTTTTTTTTTACCTTGTCTTGTGCAGAGTACCATTGGCCAGAATTTCATAATCTTCTAAGTAATGACCACTGTGGAGATATCACACCAAAATTGAGACAGAAACATGTTATTGACAATCCACATCTCATTGACTGGTTTTTCACTGAGCGAACTGATCGGTTTGTGAAGTTTTGGCTGAATAAATCATTACAGGCATCTTGGTATTGGTACCGATATGAATATGCTGTTCAGAGGGGATCGATTCATTGTCACGGAGTTGCAAAATTGCAGAATGATCCAGGGCTTTGTGAACTTACAGCAGTTGCACTGCAGGGTTTTTGGCATCAAAATATATCAAAGAACACCAAGCAAATATATCAATTGAAGAACTACAAGAACTGAAAAATAAGGAGAAAAGGGGGAAAATGCTGAGGCAACTGTTTGCCAATATGTCAATTTTTTATTAACGACATGGAATCCTTGTTCTCCAGATGAAGGTTGGTCCAAGCCAAATTCTCATCCATGTCAAACACCATATCTTTCCTTAAAAGAAGAGAAAATGGAAGATGACTATGTGAATCTATTGAATTCTGTTCAAAGGCATACGTTGTGTAGTACTAAGTATTGCCTTAGGAAAAAGACGGTTGCGAATTATGCTGCAGGTTTAATTTTCCATTTGATAACTGTAAAAAACAAGGATAGATTTTGAACCTGTCCATACAAAATCAGGTCAACCAAAAGTATAAAGCAGTTATTGTTACTAAACGAAATGACTCAAGATTAAATCGTCATCAACCATTGCAGCTTCA